TCAGTTTGGTAATATTGTTGGCAGCCTTGTTTATCGTCTGTGATTGCTTGAGCTCAAAATCCTTATTGCTTCTCGCAAGTTGCGTTCATGAATTTCATTGTTTTCATAAGTTTGTGAAATTCGGGGTTTCCTAGAATTATTCTTGTTGAGCTGACTATTATGTAGGTGATGGTTGCTGCTGGTGGTCCTCTTGAGGCGGTTGGCACTGCGGCTACTGAAGCCAGATGATGGTTTGACTGCACTAGCAGCTTGCACTAGCAGCTCTGCCAATGAAACAGGCGACAGGACAGAAGACTCTATGATCTACTCATTTCACTTCCGACCTCTTTTTCGATGGTTCCCTGACGCCAGCAGCTATCTCTGCCAGCAGATGCTGCAAATGGAGTTTGACTGGTGTGTGTCATTGTGACGGTGAAGTTGCTAAGGATACATTCGGCTTTCGTGGTCATCGCTACCTAGGTGGGTGGGTTTTCAATTGGGTAGTTGACGATAGCTTCGATGATCAATAAGTCGAAGTAGGGTAATAGTACAACGTTAGAAGTTGTGCTGTTAGCTATGATGATGTGAATCTGGCCAGCTCATTTTCCCCCGGAAGCCAAGTTTGTTAGATAGTTCTCCAACGTTGTCAGGCAACATATTCCAATTTGTAAGCGTGAAATGGACTTCCCTGAATTCACAACTGTCTGAAATTGGAGACTGGAAAGAGTTTATTGCTAAAGGTTAACTACATAGGATATTGGTCATAGGTAGGCATTGCATCTCTTAAGATAACGCCACTCAAACTCACCTTGGCACTTCGAAAATGCATATTTTTGTTAGTCAATGAACAATCCTAATGGTTGATCTCGTCGATTTGAAACAGGAGGTGGCGGGACGTTTCCCTTGAAAGTTTTTCATAGCCCGGCAACATGTTTACCTCTGTTAGCAAGAGCCCAAAAAATGTGATTTCTGTAAAAGTAACGCAATAGCAATATGTTACTTTAAATACTGCAAGTCTTACCCTTGAAATTGGAGACCTGAGCGCAGGCTTTTGCCAGTTCCAAGAATGCAGTTGCGACCTTGCTCCATGTAGCAGAACTACTCGCACTCCTGACTAATGGACATTGCAACCACAAAACATGATTCGTCAAGTTGCCACGGTTTGCTTTGATATCTACAATGAGTTTATCAAGAGTCTTTCACATGCGCTGAACAACAGAAACAAAAATAGATAAAAAGAGAGAAAAAAAGCCAAGAAGTACTAGTTTTGGTGTAACGTTTTGTTTTCAGGAATGTAAGGTTTGCCTTCCTCGTCATGGCATAGATGATTCGGGCTTATCGCGATGGTCTCCTGGGTTGTCAAGCATGCAGTCCACCTTGCCGAATCCAAACCACTATGTAGGAGAGAAAACGAGAACGTAAACGTTGGATAATAAAGTCGACACCCGGCAATGCCGATTGTCTATTTTTGTGTTTAGGACGGAGTAGATTGAGGTCGATCTCAATTACAAGTCAGTCGAGTGTTGAAAAACTCCACTGCCGAAGGTGCATCTGCGTGACAATCTTATCCCATCACTCATTAACTGCGGCTGAACTGCAGTGCATGACATGCTGGCACTCGATGAATCACAGGGATACACCATACTAAACAATCCAATCAAAAATTGAGAATTTATTAAGATCTTGGGGAAAACTGGGCCATAATTGTTACGGCCAGCTAACTGACAGTGGGTTTGTGTTAACAGTAAGTCAGGGATTGAGAGTAGTAACAGTCGTTCCGTGGTCCTGGTCGAATAGATCGTAGATCTTCAAAGGTCTTGGTGATCAGTCAAGGCCTCAACAAGAGTCGTAGAGTAGTCGTCACTTAGGATAGCTGAAAGTACCGGTGAGGGTAGTCACGAAGTTGATTGCTGAAGAACTAGGAAAGGTAGGACTCGAGAGGACTCGAGTCCCAACTATATACAAGTCTGGTTCCATGCTGAACACTTCCTGATCCTGGGGGACCGACACCCAGGACGTCGGTCCATCGCCATGGACCGCCCTTGGCACCGTCGGTCCTGTCCCAGGACCGCTTATCGTCCGTCGGTCCTGCTTATCGTCACGTGACCTGTATCCTAGTTCTTCCGTTCCGTGGGGGTTGTTACGACGTAACGGCTGACGGCCGTCCCTATAACCGCTGAGCCCCTGCGGGGTCGTCGTCAGTGGTCTGTTAACTGTCGGGTCGTAACAATAATGTAGATCTTTAATGCTGCAGCGCAACTACAACTGATGGCGTCCTCGAGCCTCGAGTCAGTCAGAATAAAATCTGTTACAGCCCCTCTAGTCCTTAGCAGTTCAAAGCTATAATATCACCCAAACCAGCAGATGATTAGTTATCAAGAGTAGTTAGGTTAGCCGTCGAGCCAAAAACTGCGCCGCGCGCTTTCCGAAAACGCCGACTTGTGGCTCAATTTTTGCCAGGCAGTTAGTTGGGAGTGCGGGGAAAGCCCTGTTGCACGAACTGATCGACGTAACGTCGCACACCCACTTCTCGCACACCCCCACATTTCGCACACCCATAAATCGCTCATGTAGAATTTTACCCTCTTCAACATTCTTTAATATCTTCACCACTTTTACAGCGATTATTATAATTCTTTGAATAGTTACTCTTATACGCTTAATGGGCCAGTATACGGAAACAGAAGTCAATCAAGCTCTCAATGCAGTTGCAAGTGGGCAGAGTGTCCGAAAGGCAGCTCATGATGCTGGAATTCCACCATCAACCCTCCAGTCTCGATTAAAGGGTTCACAGGCAAGAAATGTAGCTTTCTCTAGCTTCCAGAAGCTATCTCCAGCACAGGAAAGTCACTTAGCTGAATGGGTGCGTATCCAGGCGGCGTTAGGGCTGCCGCCAACACATCAACAACTCAAGGAATTTGCCCAGCGAATCCTAGACATCAGAGGCACTACCCAGCCACTTGGGAGAAACTGGATTCAGTTCTTTATTAAGAGAAATCCATCAATCAAGGTTCATAGAGCTAGAGCCATCGATTCTAAGCGTGTCAATGGGGCCTCAACTAATGTAATCAGGCAATGGTTTCAACAACTCGCCCTTCCAGAGATCAAGGCGATCAAACCACATCATCGCTATAACATGGATGAAACTGGTATCCTAGAAGGCAGAGGATCAAATGGCTTAGTACTGGGATCATCAGAAAGCTCATCAATGCGAAAAAAACAGCCTGGGTCTCGGGCTTGGACAACTATGCTTGAGTGTGTCTCTGCAACTGGTCAGGCGCTTCCTCCACTTGTTATTTATCGAGGGAAATCGGTTCAACAACAATGGTTTCCTCTTGATATCCATAAACGTGATATTTACAGTGGTTGGAAGTTCACAGCAACTGAGAATGGCTGGACTTCAGACTCTACAGCTGTGGAATGGCTTGAGAACATCTTTATCCCTCTGACTAAGCCTGATCATCCCTCTGAGCAGAGACTATTGATCCTAGACGGTCATGGCAGTCATGAAACAACAGAATTTATGTATCTCTGTTATAAACACAAGATATATCTCCTTTTCCTACCGCCACATACATCCCACGTTCTCCAACCTCTAGACCAAGCAGTCTTTGGGCCTCTCAAGGCGACCTATCGAAAAGAGCTTGGATACCTCATTCAACACAACGATTCTACAGTTGTAGGCAAACGGAACTTTCTTACCTGCTATGGAAAAGCACGCCAGATGGCATTTTCAAGCAAGAATATCAGAAGCGGCTGGAAAGCAACAGGACTATGGCCCATTTCGATAGCTCGACCGCTCATGAGCCCTCTACTGCTTGAGAATGCTTCCAAGCCCTCAAAGCCAGGCTATTCTACGCCTATGAGGGCCTCTGATGGTGGAAAAGACGAAAACTGGGCATCTGCTACATCCATAGTAGCCTGGTCAACGCCCAAGAAGACAGTTGATCTATATGATCAACTTAGCTTATTCAGCAAGTTGGATAAAGATCAGCAAACGCAGCGACTGTTGTTTCGGAAGGTTCAAAAGGGATTTGATGAAAAGGACTATCAATTGGCTACAGCAGAGAAGAAGATTGCAATGTTGGAAGCAGAAGTTGAGGCTGGAATGGTACGGAAGCGGCGTAAGGTCCAAATGAGCCCAAATTCGAAGTTTGCCAACATTGAGGCAATTCACAAAGCCCAAATTGAGGCTGGCGAAATTGAGGATAGCTCAGATGAATCTAGCGAGCCTGAATTACCTATTAAAACTGGCGATAGTATCACAGTTGCAGGAGACGAATCAGACTTATAGTTATGAAGTTGATGAATACCTCATGATGACCCAATTTATGGGTGTGCGAAATGTGGGGGTGTGCGAGAAGTGGGTGTGCGACGTTATTAAAAAGCTCTCTTATCATACTAGATACGAGCAAGACTTTACCAACCGGTTGCAATGCCTCATGGGGCTTACTCCATAGTTTATTTCTTGCAGGCTTTTGTTACTCTACTCGCCCTTGGCATACCAAAGTCTTGGCCCTGTGTCCTTCTAAGCATAAACTGTAATTTTCATAGATCTTTACCGTAATGGTGAGAGCTGTATCATAAATCCCCGAGTTTCTAGATCTTGATTGTTCGGAGGGGACGGAAAGTGTCTGCTAAGGCATGACGATTCAAGCTAAGACGTTGAGTGACTTTGACATGAACCCGCAAGTGATCATTCGGGCCCATTCTTAAAATACCCGTTTTTTACATTAAGAATAAACTTTGCCTGACAAACGGCATTTTTCGGACGAATGCCACTCCGTTTGTTTACCCCTGACAGTTGCGAATTCATAAGTATATAACATCATTCATTGTTCCAACCATGAATGCATCGATTGCCTTTAGTCGCAGATTACACTCTTTCAAATCTCTCTTGCGGCGCTTTTGCCATACATCCATTCGCTAAACCTTTGCTTGCAATTCCTACCATTCTTTCGGAACAGTATAGCTCACTTTCTTTTCAGCAAACGAACATCCACTCTTTTAACGTTATCGACATGGCGTCCATGACGCTCAAAACCGCTGCGGCTGTGGCCTTTGTGCTATCGCAGCCAGCTCTTGCTGCTATATTTCCTCTCAGCATTGCCAACCGTTCCGAAATCGAGGCCATACCGTTAGAAAAGCGCGGTGCCATGGCTGCTTATCAAATGTGGGCTGGTGCAGAGATTCCATACATCTTGGAAAAGCTGCCCCACGATTTGTCGGAGAGTATCCGCGGTGCCATGAGGCAGTGGGAACAGTCCACCTGCATCCGATTCTTGCCCAAGAAAGACCAAGGTGCCTGGGTGAATTTCAAGAAAGTAAGATTAAAATAAGAAGGAAATTTGGAGTTGCATACTCACAAAGACTTTCTAGTATGACGAAGGTTGCTACGCCCAGGGGTTGGGGTCTCCCGGCATAGGTGAACGCATAGTGAACCTCGACTACCCAGACATATGGGAGAAAATTGGTGCCTTAGGAACTTATAAGGCTTGCATGGAGGCTGGAACTCCTGGACATGAGGCAAGTGATAAATTGTTCGGATTGACGGTGGAGGGCTAACAGGTTGTGTGCGAAACAGCTCGGGCATGTGATCGGACTCGCTCACGAACAACAGAGGCCTGATCGAGATCAGTATATTCGCATTTTGACAGACCGCATCCAGGAAGACTTTTTGGACCAGTTCACCATAGACAGCGATGCGGATACTTCTGTGCCATTTGACTACAACTCGATCATGCTTTACGATACCAAAGCCTTTGCTAAGACAAACAGATTCACCTGGCTGACAGGTGAAGGAGGCTTGAAGCACACAATGGAAACGATCACAGATAAGCAAATCAATCCTTGGAGCAGCCCTACGGCGAATGACTTCAAAGCCGTCAACGACGCCTACAAATGCGAGGAGTACTACACACGCACAATCCCCGAGTGCTTGGCGGGGGCTATTCCAGCCAACACAGACTTTTCGTCATACACTTTCATCCTAGACAGCTACACGGAGAAATACATGCGCGAAAACGGTTATACCCATGTGGCTGCACACCAGAACTGCCGCGCCAACACACTCAACCAGGACACCGACAACTGGGGTTTCACTCCCCTCAACGGCTGGGGCCCCCGCTCCCCATACAAGGTCACCACCAACCGCTGCAAGAAGGACTTCGACCGCCACGCTAGCCGCTATGAGGTTGCTCTTTGCAAAGGAGACAACGAGGGTGCTTGCGATATCAAGTGCGGTTTGCGTCGTGTTTGCCCATACGATGGCAACAACAAACAAGTTGATAGTAAGGCTATTGATGTTGTGGATAACAACCTCTGGGTCTGCCATCCTCACTAGGCCACTGATGTTGATTGATTTGTGAGATTTCCAAGATTGTGGGTCAGGCTTGGTGAAGTAAGGCGTTTGTAAATCGAAACCGTTTTTGCTGTTATACAATGTTTTCGGTAGACGCAGTCCATAATGGGAGTTACGGCATTAGCTGTTAGATACGCAATATAGAGTTGAGATTGGCCATCTTAAACCACAGAATTCGCCTAAATGTGCCTATACTCCATGTCTCAATCAATTTGTCTTGACTACTTAAATCCATGTCGCTTTTTCGTTTTGAATGCTATGCTGTGGAAACCCCACTTTTGCCACTCGAGGATGACATTATCCTGTTCAATCAGCCTTCAAATCCGGCCACCTCATGTCAACAGCAAGTCCGTTTAGCTAAGGTATTGTACCATCAAATGTATATGTCTTAAAAAAGTCCTTGAGAAGTTTAGAAAGGATAGGACAGCAGAGACTAAATGAAACACAACAGCGAAACGTGTGCGATTGGTGTTGGGATCACAGGGTACCCGTAAAGTGGGATAACCTCTTGAGGGGAGAACTGGCGTCTGTTTTTGTGTCCGATGTCTAAGAAGTTAAAGCAGAAGTGCTGGAGGAAGTGATCGCGGATATTACACCCCGTCTGTCAGGCAGCCGGCAACGGAGCCATTTCAACCGCGGAGTTCCGGCTATTGCAACAATTGGATCTTCCAAGCAACTTTGATCGGCCTAAAGAAGAACGCCCTAGAACAAAGCACACAGTCCTCTTAAATTTAAACATAACAATGATGCTTTGTAGATTTTTCGTACAGCTATGTTTCGTCAAACTTGTCGATTGCAGAAGCAACTTAGGACTTGTATATATCGACAAAGCATTTTGAGAAAGTTAATCATTCAATTAATCAGAATCCCACCAGTAACTACAGCAGCATTCAAAGCAGACCAATATGTCAACCTCCAACACCTTCACTTAGTGGCTAAGCACAAAGCTGCGAAGAGAGTTGCGCGCTTGTTACACTATTGCACTTGGGCACTAATCGTTTTTTCTGTCCTGTGATATGAGTGGATGATCCATACAAATTAGAAACAAGCGGTATACCTAGTCGTTTTGTCAAATCATGCTTTGATTCAATGCAAGACCTGACAAGTGCTGCTCTGACGAAGTTGCCTGCCCCAATAGCTCCCACACAAGAACATCGTACAAGGTGCTTAGCACTGCCTTAGTTGAGAGAGACTCTAATGAGACAATGAGTGAGATCCTTAATTGTTGTAGTATAGTTTCTTTGCAATTCGATTTACTCAGAGCATGATTCAATATTCAAACAGTTGATGGTTTGGTCAAGTCCCTATTTCCGTTCTAAAGTCCGACCTGATGACTTTGCATCGCCAGCGGGATTCCCCATAGTTCTTAAAAACCCCATAACTTTGCAAGGATATGCCATGCAAAGGCGCCTTCTAGCCCTGCAGTGCTAACTGATTTCCTACCACAGTAAGGAGCTTTACTATTCAAGTAATTCGTTTAACCAGAATGGTTTGTCAAGTGCGGAACTGTCAAAAGTCCGCGAGTTCCGGTCTGGCCATGTGCAGACGATTTACAGGATGACCGGCTTGCCTGCGGACTGTTTTGTTGGCGACTTCGCCCCGGATGCCGGATGTCTGGGAGAACACAACGCCAAAGCAAAACTATTGGCCAAAAACGGGTTCGGCAATCATGAAAGCTCCACAGACCACCTTGAGGATGGATCCAAAGCTCCAGTCAACGTCCACCGAATCTACGGACGGAGCGCTTGGCACCCACCCGGTTTCCGCTTTTGATCACTGTGATATCAGAGACACCACGAACATATGGGGTTTCAAGACTGAGTTCGCAACTACGATGCGTATGCTGGAACGTCATGAGAAGCACAGGGCACAGACGGATCAGAGCCAGACAGTGGCCCTGCGATTGCATGCGATGATACCCTGCATGTGCTCTCGGACTTTACCCTGTGCCCGGAACCCATCAAACGCCCGAGGTCCATCGACGGGAGTATTCATAGAGTTAAGGTTAGTATAAAGAGGACGGTTGAAAGTTACTCATGTTCAGTATACCATCATCTCATCTAAGTCTTCCTTTCTCTCGATTCCGGCAGCTCTTCTCAGTCTAGGTTTACCAACTTCCCAATAACACAACGTTTGCACCTGTTCTCAACATGTCGGGCCTTCAAACTTTGTTTGCACCGGCTCCCGAGCCCAAAACCGAACTCGGTCGCTATCGTATTCTCTCATCCACGGCCGGTGTCAGGGTCTCCCCGCTATGCCTGGGCGCCATGTCCATCGGCTCCGCGTGGTCGTCCTTCATGGGTTCCATGGAGAAAGAAGACTCATTCAAGCTGTTGGATGCGTTCGCTGATGCCGGTGGAAACTTCATCGATACCGCCAACAACTACCAGAATGAAGAGTCTGAAAAGATCCTTGGCGAATGGATGACAGCCCGCAACAACCGCGACATCATGTTCATCGCTACCAAGTTCACTACCCAATATCGCAAGCAAGACGTCGGACAGGGCAAATGCGTCAACTATTCAGGCAATCACAAGAAGTCGTTGCATCTCTCGATTCGCGACTCTCTGAAGAAGCTGCAGACCGATTACATTGACCTGCTTTACGTCCATTGGTGGGACTGGACAACGTCCATCGAGGAGCTGATGGATTCCCTCCACATTCTTGTTGAGCAGGGTAAGGTCTTGTATTTGGGTGTTTCCGATACGCCCGCTTGGGTTGTTTCTGCTGCGAACACCTATGCAAAGGCGCACGGGAAAACTCCCTTCTCTGTTTATCAGGGTCGCTGGAACGTTCTGATTCGCGATCTCGAACGCGACATCATCCCTATGGCTCGTCAGTTCGGCATGGCAATCTGCCCATGGGACGTCCTGGGAGGTGGCAAGCTGCAAACGAAGAAGCAAATTGAGGAACGTCAAAAGGCAGGCGAGGGCTTGCGCGCCATGTTCGGAAATGAACAATCCGAGGATCAGCGCAAGGCAAGCGAAGTTCTTGAGGAAGTGGCCAAGGAGCAAGGAACTGAAAGTATCCAGCAAATTGCCCTGGCTTATGTTATGCAGAAGGCTCGTTACGTCTTCCCAATTGTTGGCGGTCGCAAAGTCGAGCACTTGGAAGACAACATTAAAGCCCTCAGCATTCGCTTGACGGAGGAGCAGATCAAGAAGATTGAAAGTTTTAAGGAATTCGATATTGGTTTCCCTATGAACTTCATCTTGGAAGATCCTCGGGAGGGTGGGCCAACAGCTCCTTTGGTTGCTGCATCTGCCCCGATAGCCTGGCAGCGTTACGGCAAGGCAATTGGCCATGAGTAAATATCACAGTGATACGTATTTAAAGAAATGTAAACTTAAAATTCAGGATTGGGGTTCAATTCAACTCAAGTATTCATTAACCATTATCATCATCGCTACATTTGGTGCTTTCATTTGTGTGTAGGTTTTGTGCCATTAAGTCGTGATCTCAGCATCAAGCCAAGGATCTAAGCCGTAAATAAATTATCATAAACAGTGCTATTTTGCGCCCTTTGAAACCAGAGTTCTCTGCGAATCTGCAGATGAAGATCCGGAGGATGATGAAGATGCTCCTGCAGTCGACATTGAGGCCCCCGATGATGCAAGACGCAGTTTATCCTCAGGTATCTCTGCGGATCTTGCTGAAACTCGTTCTGAACGTCTTGTAGATTTCCTGACTCTCATTTTGATTGCGTCTGGTAGGTACCGAGTTCTTACCGCCGTATCACGGAGAAGAACTCGCAGTACCGGGAGAGTAGCCACCATAATTGTTATTGCTGTCTCAGCCGCAGCCCACACAGCCAACTGAGCTCCGCCGTCTGAAATACCGAGTTAGCTAAGCAAAGCAGTATATATGGTTCCCAGTAAAACTCACGAGAAAAATCTCCCGTCGTATCAGTCACAGATTGCATGAAAGATGCTTTCACAAACGCCGCAACGCCAGCCCTGTATCAAATTAGAAAGATCTTCGACAACATTGGATGAAGACAGAAATCACTTACAGCACACCCATGCTAAGAGCCACTGACACACCAATCTTTTCTTTCTTGCTCAAGGTGATTCCAGATGACTCTTCCGCCGGCGTTGGGCGCATTAGAATCAACCAAGGAATGGCAGCGAGGGCTAGATCCAGGAGACCAGAATAAACTGGAAGATATAATCAGTTGGCCTGCTTGGTAGCATTGAAGAGAACGAATGAGAGAGACTTACTGCTGACAAATATTCCAAAAGATACCACCCATTTCAAGTCGTAACACGTTCCGGGGCCGAATGGTTGCCATCTCTTTTCCAGAGGCACACAACCAATCCAAAAAGAGAGTGACGCAAAGGCGAAGAGCAAGTTCATCGATATTATGGAGAACCAAACAAAGGCCTTCTTCCAACCATCGCACATCCGCAGAAGCGATATAGCAAATGCTGTTTTGCTCCAGACTTGTCCAACAAATGAGCATGTGATGGAAGACAGACCGACGACTGCTAACGTCGATATATTCTCGATGGTCAGAGGAAATCCAGCCCGTCCAAACCGTGACTTGATAATAAACTCATTCAGAGAAGCATCTGTGGCAAGAACGACCTGAATACAGACTTGGTGTTAATGTCTGAAAGATATCACTATGCCTGCGGCGCAGCTGACAACACTCACCCAAGAAGCTACCAGTAGCGCATCTTCAAAACGGAATTTGGTGTAGGAATATGATATCTTGCAGTATAATCTCAAAGCCAAGAAGACTGCTGAGAGCACAACTAAGATCCATAAAACGGTCTGGATGGACTCGGCGGTAGAGTCGTCGTCGGCTCGGATGTTGAGTGATAGCGTTGCCGTATCCAATTCAGCCTTCGTCAAGCTCGTTACGTTCATAGACAGTGCCAAGGTGTCCAACACCTTTGCCCGGCTTCCTGCACAATGCTCACATCCTCGAGGGGGCACCACTGCCATGTTCGGTTTCCGAATCGGATATCGAATGCTCAGGTGACAGCAAGACCTTCGAACACAGACAACCAACACATGAAGTGGCAAGAAGGTGGAGCGCACACTTTTATGTAGGAGTTTAATTGACCACGAAAGTAGTGGCGTCTATCATTGGCAGGCCGATGCAACTCCTGCCTGCCCCTCCCTAACGGACTAGTGAACAGCGCCGTTTCATGAAGACCACGTGGAGATCGATCGGGGCCCGAAGAACTGACAAGTTGCTGCCAGGATTATCATGGCTAAACAGGTTCTTGTCCCCAAGGACTTTCGCATCACCGCACTGAGCGGACAAGGCCGCGTCCGAACAAGCACAGGCCAAGCCAACACCAGTCAGTCGGCAGGCAGTTAGTTTGCAAGGCAAACGGCAGAGCACGGACTAGTGTTTGCGGCTTTTTGGAATCCTGTGGTTCCGTGCACCGCCAGAACGGATGCCTGGACAAAGAATCCCATAGGTTTCTTTTCAAGGAGATGGGGACCCTGTCTCGCAAACCCAAAGTCATGACTGCCAAGATAAATGCCTAGTAATTGGTCTCCTTCATCCTGGTTTGCCGACTCCCTCAGGTATGGAGTTGTGGGGACTTTGTTTACCATCTCTGCCCGTTCCGCACTACCCCCGTCCGGCTGAACTGTGAACCTATGGATGCCTTATTTGAGTTATCACCACTGTCACAGACGTGTCGCGACTGGAGGCTGACCCTGGAGTGCACGGCCTGTTGATGGGCCACCGAGGTCTTATCTTTCGAAAAGTCTACTGCTTTCATCAGATGCGTGGCACATGCTGGCCTGGGCATCCCCATACCTGCGTCAACGTCTCCGTTCCCAAAGCATGCTTCTTCTCCCTAGCTCGTTGACTAGTGTGACAAGTCCTGGATCATCTCTTATCCTTATTCGGGAGACAACACTTCCGCTGCACATCTGCTGCAAGATTTTCTCCCATCTTTATAGCCAACGACTTGTTCAACTCGCGGCAATGGTGAGGTTGTGAAGGAATGGCACTAGAGTGATAGCTATCAAGCATCAAAATAAACAACGGCGGGCCAAGGCCGTGCTTCAGGCTTGACCTTTGTTCCAAAGCGCGGCAAACATCTGTTTTCCCAAAGATAGGTTCTAGATTAAGCCATACAAAGTCCAATCGAAATCACTCCGCAACAGAACATATAGATGCCACAGGTTGATCTTGTTGGAAAATTCATTAAAACGGTGGCTAATGTGGGATTGCTTTCGTATGAAATTACTTTGATACGACTGACAAGAGCGAGTGCGATACGATTTGGCGATACGGCGTATCCTTCTCCACCTAATCCTTGACACTACTGTCCCAAGTCATAAGCGCAATACCGTGATGGAAAGAGAACTTGATGATGGAAAGAGTTACCGTTCAAGTTCTCTTTTGGGATGAATTCAACAAAGCACGTAAGCGACACTCCAGTGTGAAACTCTACGGGTCCCGTCTATTACCGACTCCTCCTGTAGAATCGGCCGAGCCCCCTCTACCTGCGACAAATCGGGAAGTGTTGTGCCGGTGATAGGATCGTCCGAAGAAAAGACCTCTCCGCATGCTTCGTCGATAGTCAACCCATCGAGGCCTCTCTCTGCTCTCATATAAGCTGATTCGCTGTCAGGAAATCTGCATTTCGCAGCGGGGTTTAGGTCGAAACGCCAGAGAGTTTTGAAAGAACAAGAGCTACCGGCGAGAAGAAGACGTTGGCGAAGAATCTGCATCGCCTTACATGAATAGAGCGATTACAATTTGCGTCTTGTTCCAACCTGCAGCTGCAAGGCATTTTTCGGCGTCCTAAGTATTTGGTTATGCACCTCAATGTTGCATCTGATCAAGTAGTTGTCACTGATTTCAATGTACTAATCTGTAGCTGCATGCAAGAGGTCCGCGGCGCATACGCACCACTTTGACTTGCATCTTGCAGAATTAGCGTCGTTCCCAAGGTGACAGTCTTTCACCAGGTCCCATTAATAGCTCTGCAAGAGCAGCACTGCTAACGCGATGTGCATGGTTCCCGCCACCACGTTTATTTTAAGGTGCATCTTCAAACATATCATGTCTATGTTCATTGGATAAGCATAATTATCTTTGACGCGGGTGTAGCCTTGCAGGTGACGTGCCGCTGATCACGTAAATCAAACACGACTTTAATTTAGGGCATCCTGAACATGCGCTGGGGCAAGGGTTGTTACCTGACATGTAGTCGTGAACATCGGGATATGAGCTACGCGCCAAGGGTTTTGAACTTTAAATTGGCAATACCATGCACCATATGGTAGGATTGGCAATTTTTGACTTACATCCATTGCAAAATCTGAGAAACAGCAATTGAAACGGGCATAAATCTGCTGAATATTGAGTTGGGGGCTACTTATCAAATCAAGCTGGCAAATGAACCGGTTGCATCCAGCTTCTTTTATCCAGAAATGTGGAGATAATTAGCAGATATTGTTACTTTGGCGTTTCTTTCTTCTGTCATTGGAGAATACAGTGGTGCTTCTAGATAAGCATAAAATACAGGTTCCTTATATCAAGTCAACATGGACCAGGGGCCACGTCTTGACGCTTGATAATTACAAGGTCTGTGAATGGGAAACTGTGATTGTAGAATACAATTTCCGGCATTAGGAAGCGTCGGCGAGCCGAAATACTTCGTTTCAGAGACCTATTTCTTTGGATACATTGATAGGCTGAAATGGCGGAGCAGCCGGCTAATGGTTAGTTCAAAGTTTCCTGAGGCTGAGTTATAGCCGATGGCATCAGGCCACTCGATGAGGTTAAAAGAAATGCCAGAAGCTGCTGGGTATGACAGGTAGACACTGGAACGAGGTGGGCGAACAGTTCTTAGGACATGCGTGGATACCACACAACACCACACAAAAACTGCTGGCCGTCTCGTGCTCTCCCCATCACGTGCCCGAGGGAGTAACTACTACCTACAACCAACCTCTGAACGCCTTGATGGATTTGGAATAGAGAATTCCGTATCGTCACTTATACGTTTTGAACTGAGTATGGTATGCCTTGTTTGCTTAGTGGTAAAGCGACCTCTTCGGGAGACTTACAAAAATCACCTACCCTAACAAGAGCGAGTGTCTTTTTTAACTATGTGATAACTCCTTTTGAATTATGTGTTGTCTGTGCGTGTCTGCCGATATAGGTCTCCCTGATTAGGCCTACGGAGGCTCCCTGTTTTTTTCTTTCTTCCTTTTGAGGCTTTTCCTAAGTTCTTCTAACATCATCCCCTCCCAATGATCAGAAAGAAAGAGCCGAAACGGAATAAGCAGATATACCGCTATCCTAACGTGCCCGGTTCCAGCAACTGGTTCTCGGAGTCGGGCCAGAGTATTTGCCGAAGCGGGTGGTCTGATAGAGGATGGAACCGAACTGAACTGAGCTGACACGACTTTTGTAAAAATGACAAGTCATACATGAATACGATTTGATCAGGTGCTTGAGTCTATTGAAGCTTCAATAGAAGCCCTCCCGCAGGTGAAGTTTTGAAACATTTGTAGAGTCGGAATGAATTGTTTATCTTCCATCTCATGGTCAGGTCCAATTGTCTCTCTGCTCACCCACATACCTTGATCAACATTGAAATTCCTTACAAGAACATGGTTGGTGGATCGTGCAGTCGGCTTTCACGCGACGATGTGGCAGGCAGATGCTATTCCATCGACTGCCATTAGGTAACGGGTACGTTACATGTGGGGTACTAGCCAATGATACTCTGATAGTGCGATTTTGGTCGAATGGCGAGCATTATCTGGTTAGCATTTGCATAAACATGGACTTCAAAATGGTGTTGTCTTGTGGCAGTCGCTGGGATAGAACTTCAATGTCTCTTGTTTCGGTTATGTTTAGCTCTGTACAAACTGTTAGAAAGGAGATTATGGAATAAAGCGTACTGCAAGATTGATTCTTTCTTAGATGAGAGTGAATCATGGTCGCATTTTGCCATGTAAGGGAAAAGAAGTAACGATGATAAACACATTGATAAACTAGCCATTCGGGAATTCCTGGCTACCGGCTCCAAATACCGTGCGAAACGCCGTTCAAGCATCGCCGGTCGGCTTTGATAAAAAGAACTCATTCTTGGCGTTTCTCGCTGGTTTCGCTTGCTGAAACATCAGCTCTACTTGACAGTAAGGTAGGTACGAAATGTCTCTGATTGTCAACCGAAAAATTGTATTTTACCTGGGTTCTTATCCATCTCGACCGATAAAAGTGGAAACGGGCTCACCAAAATGTTCCGGTGCCAAAAGCCATCAGGGCATAACATGCAGATGTTCATTAAAAATCTCATCAATTTATCGAGGTTCTTTTTACTCCGGCAAGTTGTTAGCGTTAAGTAAATTCTACCAATGTGTGAATGAGCCTCCTGAGCATTTCAAGATACTGACATGATGGAAGGCTGGAAGCTTGAGTACGGCGTGGAAAGGCAGGCACAATGCAAGGAACTAATTAAACCATGACGTGAACAGACAAAAAATACGATAGCCATCCATATATGATCTAGTTCGTCCGGGGGCTACGACTGGCTCGGTAAGATCGGCACAGGCCGTCAGTGACCGGCATAGAACTTGAAGGTTTAGGCTCATGGGGGATGCAGGAAAGCTAAGTATGGACGCGGAAGTTCCTAGAACTTGCCAACGGGCGCTGTGACACGTGCAGCTTTCGGCCACCGATGCGGGGAAGCCCTCTTCATTTGTCTCATGGATCGAGCGGTGCCATCACCTCAATGACAGCTCTGCCTACCTAAGTAGCTACGGGAACAGACTAGTGAGGCTCAGGGCGAGATAACGGCTCCCATTCCTAGTTATGGTCTAACTACTAATGGCTTAAGTTTTAATGCCATTCAGAAATCTTTGAAAAAAACTACAAAGATCTACTGTATAACCCCTCCAACTTCTCAGTTCTGCTTTACATATAGAGTATAGCGAGTATCCGGCCAGCATGTTTTTCTGTCAATGCTGGCCGTCAGAAACAAGGATACATCCCTGCTACTTCCGGCTGACTCAGCGTTCTGGACCTCTGAGCTGGCCGCCGCACAGTGACATCCCGTCAGTGGAACTGATGTCATCCTTCTCGCAGGTGCGGGGCGCCAATCGAAAAGCTCCCCCGCGAAACCCTGTTGAGCGCTGTCTTCGGCCGCGACACCTGACGTCACCTCGGTCGAGAAAAGCAAGAAATATTTCAAGATTCGGCCGGCGAGATGGTAGAGCACATAGGACGTCAACGGGCGCTGGGACCGCGTGACTGGAGACATCATACCACATACTTCTAGCTTTTTCTTGCTGCCCCCATTTCAAGTGCTGGGCCCCCTCCTCCTCCGTTACACTCGGAATTGCGATTTTGATACCCTTCAGTCCCATCCCATCCACAAACACCACAGCAAACACCGCCGACGAAAAGAAGAACAAGCAATATAGTAAATCAAAACCCCTATAACCATTAGGGATTTAGAACAAAAAGCCTAGAACCAGTCTCAAAAAGAGAAAAAAAAAACCTACCAATAATGCCTTCCGTACTCGGCCTCACTACCGATCCCTCTCCGCACGGCCCCGGCGCCGAGGAGCGCCAGAAGAAGAAGAAGCCCCAGTTGCAGGGCGGCCAGGATACCGACGGCAAGCAACTAGCTCGCCGCGAGCGCAAAGACTCGGCATCTCAGTCTCCTCCCGGCGAAGAGAAGAAGAAGAAGAAGAAGGAGAAGAAGGAAAAGAAGGAGAAGCCCAAGCCCCGCCGTTACGACGACGACGACGAGGAGTCCGAGGAGGAGGGTCCCCTCAACACCATCAAGAAGCGCAACCACGCCAAGGCCATCGAGATGGAGACGCTCCTCTGGGGTGCCCTCTGCCACAAGCCCAAGAGCGCGCTCAAGTACGTCGGCAAGGGCGCCATCATGTGCAACCCCCTGCTCTTCGGGGACGCGGATGTCTACTCGGAGAGGTCGGAGCCGACCTTGAAAGAAGTGCTCAAGGAATGCGACCGGTTCCTCAGCTTCAAGATGCACAGGCCGCATGTTGTTGAGATTGGACTCATGTCCATGGCCATCTGCTACGACATCACGCTGTTCAGCCAGGCCGACGACGGCACCCTCGAGACGGAGGAGGCGACTGTGTCCACGAGCTGGAGACAGTGTGCCAGCGGCGATTGGGAAATGACGAGCTCCATGGCTGGATGGCAGGATTAGATGCCTTGGGGATACATTGATGAATATGGGGGCGGGGGCGGTTGTATTATTCTACCTTGTACGGCGTCACATTGTGGTGTTTCTCTTTTTTGTTTTATGACGAGTTTGCAAATGTATGTAATGTACCACGGCCTGCGCATGAATTAAGATTTTTTTGCATGTTCAATTACCCATTTCCCGTTCCCAACCAAGGTACTTGGAATGGCTTTATTGACGTCGTCTTTCAGAATGTTCGCGCAAATGCGATCTAAGCTTTCGAACCCACCGCCTCCTTCACCATGTCGCCGAATCCGACCATGCACACCGTCGCCCACGCCGCGACGCCGATGCGCGGAACAACACCGCGGAAGAATCCGCTGAATCCATTCGTCGCCCAAATGTGCTTGGCAGTGGAAGCCATCGTCAGTTGCTGCGGGCGACTTGGATCAGCCTTCAACGACTGCATTTCGACTCTCACGACCTGGGATCGGTAGTAAGTACTAGTCTAATCATATCAAAGCACATAGTAAAGCGTAGCCACTTTTAATACCTCAAACGGCTGGTTCCAACAGCTCAAAGCACCACCAATGACGGAAGCCACAATCTTCTCCTGCGGCGCCAGTTTCTCCTCGGGCGACTTGCCCCTCAAAGACCTGATTTGGCCTTCCGCGACTCTCGAAATGCCGATCCTCGACGACCACCCCGTAATCTGGCGGAGGGCCACCGCGTTCACGCCGCGGTTGACGCCGCGGATCCCCTTTGTCCGCAGGATCTGCAGAAACACCTCCATAGTCCCCGGCGCCCCGCCGGCGGTCCTAGGGGCCTTTTGCCTGGTGACCTCCACGGTCTTCATGCATGTTGTGACGCCTGGTGCAAGGTCAGCTTTGAAGTTCTGCACGGTTACCGGTAAATGTGTCTAACCCATGGTGAGGTATGCCTGGGACGCGCCGCCGACGATTCCTCCGAGGACACCTGCGACTTCGGTCCCCAGGCCGGATCGTTTCGCGTGGTGTTCGACCTCTGTCGAGGTCAGGACCAATATAGCGCCCTTGGTCGACGCTTCAATCCATGCCTATCAGGAATGAGGTTAAAGGGGGGGTTATACGTGATGTTTTTTTTTTTTTTACCATATGAGAACCTACCCATGGTATGAGCCCCTGGTAGAAACCGCGCAGCCCAGCCCGTGCCCAGGTTTTCCTGACGGCGTCACCCAGGGTATCTGTTCTATTCGCACTAGCCTATAACGAAACATTACTTTATGTCAGTGAAGCCTGGTCCGAAGTTTCACGTTGCTTGCGTCGACTTTACGTGGGTCTTTATGACTTCCATTGGCTGACCCAAAGTAGTAACTGCAGTTAGTTACCGGTCAGCTCACCTCCACGTCTCCCATTGGATATAGAGCATGCGGATGGGGGATCCACGGGGGCTGGTACTCGACCAGGGAAACTCGTACCTTAAATGATATTCATACAAGCTCCTACGAGGAGGTTTCTCCATGGCGTCTGGCGCTTATCGAGCGTTGTTACTGCTGGGGAGTGCACTACTGCTACCGCCATTGTAATGCTGCGCTGTACAACACTTGAAGTTCAGGTAAAGTCAGATAGATGGATCAAACTATGACTCGCTGTGATGGGCAGGTAGCCCGTATGATATGTCAAAGAAGTGATTGGTGCAAGTATATTGTCGTTACTAGGGAACATGGGGTTGTGGTAGACCGTCGGATCGCCCCGATCAACTATGTTTGCTCGAGCGTCGGACCTATCCGGACGCCGTTAGGGCACCTGGATTCGTTGGAGGCGCCATTAAACCCCCCATGTAAATCACCGAGGACTTAATCGAACCGGTTCTCATTGTCTCAACTGCGAGTAGATCTGTTTCAATTACACCTCTCCCGGTCTATTCTGTAAAATCCGCCTCTAAGCGCCCACCCTGCTCGACCTCTAGTGTCTTAATCTATGTGATCTATTTTCACCCATGTTTCATCTGTATATGCTTCGACGTCACCTCTAACGGCCCAAAGATCTATTTTCTCTTCTTGAAATCATTCTTGGGCACCCGCATAATCCAATACAACGCCGCCGCAGCAACAACGTTGAAGATGCAGTATGCCCAAATAAATCCAAAGTCACGCCACCGGTTGGCGAAACTCATGTTCATGCTCGATAAGAAAGCATTTGTATCCTCCATGCTGCAGTACTGGCAAGAAGTAGAGTTGGCATCAATCAAATAGCCGCCGTTGCTCTCGATATAAGGAGCGAGGAACTCGCCGCATGTGCTGCCGCTTGGAGCATCGAAATCTAGGAGCTCATTAGAGCTACAAGTGACTGGAGCGTCCGCCAGGCTCACGCTAAGGAACCCCTCAACGATGTATGTCAGAGGGTTGACCCTGTACATGAAGATCCAGAAACCAGGTAAGTCAGTTGGTCCGGCCAAGACACTATTTAACATGATCGGTTAGCATACATTACCATGCCAATGCGAATAGTTACTCACCCGCAGAAAGCAAACATCAAGATGAACAGTAAGTTGAGAATGCCGCCTGCCACTTCTGCACTGCTCAAACCAGCAATAAGGAGGTGAGCAAAGGTACTGGTATGCAAGAAAAAGGCCCAGCAAATCAGGAATAATGTAATTCCACGCGAGTGCACCGAATTGGTCCATTCAGCGTTGCGGTCAAGCCTCATTGGGAAGTACCAAAACAAGAAGGAGAACACGGACATGAGCTGGACAGCAGCATTAGCACAGAAATGCGCAAATATTTTTGGAGTTATATCTCTTACCGAGTTCCACACCATCTCAACGATGATGTTAGCGGCCATGAAGGCTTTCCATGAATAAGCTTTCGCAGGTCGCTCGCGAGCCTCATACATGATACGTTGAGATACAAACACAGGCATGATTTGTTGGACCATTTGCGTGAAAATGAAAAGGAAGACGTACACGCCGAACAATTTATTCTGGAGTCCGCGCTGAGAGTTCTCGCTACCAACGAGCGTTAAACCAATGAAAAGTGCCTGTTTAAGAATAGAAAGCGTCAGTAGTGTGCTGGGACAAGAAAACGATAAGTTTGAAGGAACATACTGAGCCAAAAGTCACAACTGACTTCGAGAAGATGTAAGAGGGGCTACGCCAATACTGCTGGAAAACCCTTGTCGTCACTTGCTGGACTTGCGTTCGGAAGTCTGCAGCGAACTCTGCGTATGCAGAGGTATCATGAACATCAGAGCTTGTTTCCATGCTTTTCTCGTTGCGGACCCCAGAGAGTCTTGCAAGTTCGCCTTGAACCTCCTGGTACTCCTGACTTTCACGCCATATTGTTGGCCAGTCGATTTCTGTATGGGATTTTGGAGTAGCGCCAATCACTTCAAGCATGTACTCCGCAGGATTTGACCCAGGCTTATAGGCGGGAGCACCATAGCGGTTGAAATAATCGATCAAGACATGGGAATCCTTCCCGATATCACCGAAGTAAACGGTGCGACCGCCTTCAGCCAATAAGAGCAACCGATCGAATCTCTGAAAGAGTGACGCAGAAGGCTGGTGAATAGTGCAAAGGATAGCTTGTCCGTTTTTCGTCAGTTTCTCCATCAGATCGCAGATTGACCAGGACGTTTGACTGTCTAGGCCTGACGTAGGTTCATCGAGGAAGAGGAGAAGCTGTGGCCGCGCTACAAGCTCAACACCTATTGTTAAACGCTTTCTTTGTTCGACGTTCAACCCCTCGCCCAGGTCGCCAATAACAGCATCGGCGTATTCTTGCATACCAAGGAGGTCAATGACAGTGTCGACATAGGCCAACTTCTCTTCACGGCTGTATCGCTGGGGCTGGCGTAGAAGAGCGCTGAAGCTCAAGGCCTCTCGCACTGTTGCAGTATGCAAATGAAGGTCTTGCTGGGTCACGTAACCTGTCTTGCGCTGAAATGAGGAGTCGCGTAAATGGCCGTCAACAAGCATTTGTCCAGTCACAACCCCCATCGTCACGCGGCTGGCTAGGACATCAAGGAGACTGGTCTTACCAGCACCCGAAACACCCTGTCGACTAATTAGCTGATTATGGAGAGAACAAGTCACTGAGAGCTTACCATCAACGCAGTCAAGGTGCCTGGTTTGACCCATCCATCAACGTGATCGAGAATCCGACGAGTGTCACCCTTGACTTTCACTTCGTAGCAGACATCTTTCCAATGAAATACAGAGGTTTGCTTCGCCAGGTCAGGACTATCGCTATCGCTTTGATCCTGGTTCGACGGCTGTGAAATGTTGCCTGAGGTGTTCTCGACATCTTTTGTTCCTTTCTTGACTCTTTTCAGGGCATTGCGAGTAAATACTAAGACTTCACCCTTCGATCGCTCTGATGATACCAGTTCGACGGCCACAAGGTAAAGGAACATAAAGAATATTGTGAGCGCGATGACGATGCCAAAGTTGCGCCAACGATGACTGCTGTAAAAGTCGTATACCACGCGCAGATGTTCCTCCCCGCTGACAAAATCGGCTCCCGGTGCTGCGCCACCAATGTTACAGATACGCTCATTTGACTGTAACAATGAAGGGATGTAGTTTGGGCCGGCTGGAACAAACTCAGCGCAGCTGAAGTTGCGACCAACGAATTCATTGAGTGCAAGGCTCTCTTGAGCGTAAAACACAGGGTTGACCCAGCGCAGCCAGCCAATCCAGTCGTAAAGGTAGGCTTGCGGGACGGCGAACCCACTGAAAAGCATGAGCGCCAGAAGAAGAATTGACGAGGGCGCCAATGCCTGTGCCACTGTCTTGGTGACTGACCCAAGGAAACGGAAGATCATCGACATGGAAACTGTAATCATGAGAGAAAACAGCAAAAAGAAGAAAAACGGCCCTGCATCTTCGCGTCTAAGATTCGTCATGAAGTAAATCGGAACATTGATAGAAAGAGCGTTCAAGAACTTGTACGGCAGATCAACAAGCATAGCGGCCACTGCTTCGCTGCTAGGGTGGTAAAGCGCATATCGCGCATGCTTCTCAATAATTTTTCGTTTGCCGTAGAGTGTGAGAATCTCCAAGATGCTGCCCATGGCGTTGATAAGAATAGTGTAGAAGATGAGGAGGTTTCTGTTGTAAAGGGTGGATGAGGTCGGAGGCATGTTGTAGAAAATGCTCGAGATGATGAGCGACTCGAAAAAGTTGGTCGACAACATGGTAATAGTCATCCATGGCTCGCTGATCAGGAGCTTGAAGCTGCGCCAGAGATTGAGGTTGACCTGCTGAAGATATGAAAGTGTGAATGGTGAAGAAGGACGGGTGTGCTTGGATTGCTGGGCCCGTCGAGTTGTAAGAAACTGCGCGTGAGTATCTCCACCTAGAGGAAACTTGCACTCGAAGCTGTCAATCTCATTCAAAAGCAGTTGGTGATCTCGACTCTCCTTCCAAGCTTGGGCAAACTCGTCGGGACTACGCGGTGGTGGCTTTCCGTTCCAGCCTGGCTGGATCACTCTCTCAGAGGGGCTCGTCATGGAAGTCAAGAAGTCGGGCGTAGTCTTCTGCACAGGGCACCAAAAACCCAATCCCTCAAAGTATGCCTTGGCGTTTGCCGCCTTTCCGAAGTAGATTTGCCGCCCTTCGTAGAGAACAACAACTTTGTCGAACAGCTAGATTCAATGTCAGCAAAATATGGAGGCTCATAGATATCAGTTGGGGTCGAAGCAATGAAAAAGGGCCAAGTAAGTTGGCGAAGGAATGTTTGAGCACTATGTAGGGAACAACTTACCTCGTACGCTTCCTGCGGTGCCTGATAAATGGCAACACAAGAAGTGCAACGAAAAATGTCTGCCTGCATGCGAAGGGTCCGGCAAAACTCGATTGCATTTGCAGAGTCAAGGCCTCTTGTGCTGTTATCCCAGCATTGAAGAGGTGCATAGCTTAGAACCGCCTCGGCGATGCTGACGCGTTTTCGCTCTCCTCCACTTACACCGCGGACAAAGTCGTCTCCGACCCGTGTGTTTTTGGTATGAGATATACCAAGCATTGCCATGACGACGTCTCTTAAATGTTCTGCATACTGATGCTTTGAGATGCCATCTGGGAGATCCATGTTCTGTGGGCATCGTGCGCGCGCGGCGAAGTATAGCGTCTCACCAACTGTGAGGTAGGGGAAATGGTGGTCAAACTCAGCCGTATAGATTGCCTCTCCCTTGAAAGTAGTCTGCATATCCTTGGGTGAGATGCCCTGGTAGTTTAGGGTTGCTCCATCGGCGATGTAAAAGCCATGCGTGTCTCCAGCAATCGTCTTTAGCAAGGTTGTGCAACCAGACCCTGGAGGACCAAGAACTGCAAGCATCTCGCCACTCTGAACAACCCCTTCTAAGCCATGAAGAATGTCAATGCGTTGTTGCTTCTTTGAAGGCGAAAGCAGGGATGTAGCTTCAAGGAAGAAATTGCCGACAGTCTTTTGATAGTCCATTGTTGTTCCCAGCCCGTACACATGTAGGTTCTTGAAGGCCAATCCAGCGGTGTTTGGAGCGTTGCCTAGAAGGGCCTGCGTCTGAACCCTGTAGAACTCTGCGGCCCATTTTCGAGCATTGAATTCCGTGCTGTTGGGGTTGAGTGTTTTGTCAGAGGCGTCAATGAACAGGGATTGGCCCTGAGCCCTGTGCTGAGACAGACTTGTCAGGCGTCTAGCTAGCTCGTTAATCTCTCCGCTTACAGACGCTTCGGGATCAGATTGGCTGGCGTGAGCTGTGTCGGTATCGAGGTTGTATTGTTGAAGAGCCTCATTTTTGGCGGCTTCATGATCAAAGAGCGCTCCTGTTGGCATGGTAGCCGAATCGAGTTCTGTTGGTGAGAACCGGCAGGCGCACAATAGCCGCTGGTGAGTCAGAGCGGGAAGGGGATAGATAGCCGGGGTTGTTGTGCTAAATTTGCCTCGCCACCGTCATCAAAAGAAGCTTTTTGCGGCTCAAGGTTTGGATATAGACAACCAACTAGTGCTCTTTCGCTCGATATTCGGTCGGAAGGAAAGTAGTTTAAAGTGTAGATGAAATTGGCTTCAGATGAAATAATGTATTCGGTTTCGGGGCCACAGCCTTTATATCGAGCACCCGTCCACTTTGATAGAATTGACGACGTTTTAAGACATTGTTAATCAAGACTTCTACATGAAAATTTTACTATCATCATAGAAGGAGTTTTTACGGAAAGTGCGAAATCCCTTGGCTCGCCTCCCCGGTGGGTTGGCTCTGGGCAGGACAGAAAGATAGAATCGCACTTTCGGAAAGTGCGAAGTGCCGGCTGGAGTGGAACCTAAGTGCAATAAAGTGGGACTCGCCCAGAAAAGGTGGGTCAGCCGTGCCATTCGTACGGTTAGATTTAGGATTTCTACCCGTGCCCAGATGTGCCGCTTGCAGATGTTGCTCCTGATGGGATCTGTTAGCTGAGCTAAGCTTCATGGCACAGGGTAGCCTGCGTATCGCGGGCCTTGGAAAAGCGGGGCTTCTACCTTCTACTGCGGGAAGGAAGCCTTTTATTTGCTAGGCGGTAGGTATGACTCTTGGCCCCGATCTAATTGTGGGCAAGTGCCACGCCTTTTGGCTGCGAGGACTTTCCAGACGACACGATCAATCGGTGTGTACCGACTAGTTGCCTCCATATCATTTTCCACCATTTCTACAATCACTATCTCGCCTTTTCGCACTTCCGAGTGGACTTCTCCGCGTTATCGTTCTTTGTATCCTCTTTCTGAGCCCTCACATTGGCTCTTCTGCCGGAAGGGCTCGCATATGTGACACTAGGTATTCATCTTGCCCCCCCGCCAGCTGGAGTTGCGATGGATCAACGAGGTATTGTGGTGGTGAACGGCCTCTCCGTAAGCTCCCATTTCGCTTCCCCCAATACAGTGCTTCCACAATGCCCCTGTTCTATCATGTTGCTCAAAACGGAATTGCCTTGATTAGCACTTGGCTATTGGAATTGTGCTGATATCTCATTTATGTTCATACCGTAGTGTACACATTGCCGTCGCAAAAAGGTGCGTCTTATCCTTTAGTGACCCCCGTTATTATGTTGCCTTACTCATGTCTTGTCCAGGTTAGATGCAGCCGTGACACACCTACTTGCGAACGTTGCAACAGCCAGGGCCTGCCATGTCACTATCCTCAACGGCGTACAAGGAAAAGCATTCGAAAAGATGTACCACTTTCTCAAAGGTAAACTACCCGATTCCTAAATAGGTGAGGTCTGAATGAAGCTTACCAATATCAATCGGTGCCGAAGCACTGACAATGAAACGTTGTCATTGATTCTTGATCGATTGCAACGCATTGAGACCAGATACACATCTAAACGCTCTTCACCCATTCCAGGCCCTGCCTCTCAGCGGCCTCGTTCTCCCGCCAGCCCTGCTTATTTTACACCGGCAAATGAAGTCTCCGAGTCTCCTTACTCGAGCCATTCTTCCTCTCATAGACCATCGCCGATGTTCTCTGTTGACAATGGTATGAACCTTTTGGCTACAAGACCAAATATTGATAGCACTCCCCAAGAGCATTCTTCACTGGACGTCGCCTCCATTCTTGGCGATACCTTCGATCGAGTGCGAAATCTTTGGCTAAAGAGGACGGTTGGGCTTCATGCTATCACAACGGAAGGCATCCACATTCCCCCAGACCTTGCAAGGAAATGGATTCACAGTGAGTTGAACAGGAGTACACCCCGCCGCCCCGCCATCATTCATCACTGACACGGAGCTCAGACTACTTCTCACTCAACCCTACCGAGACGTTTCTTAGCCTCGTTGACAGAAAGATGATCGAAATGATGCCAGACATGTTGAACATGAAGCATGTCACCCTTGACCCATGTATACTGGTCGTTTATTATGTCATTCTTTGGCGAGGGTGCTATCTTCTCAACTCAAGATCATATCAGAGCCCGGATCGAAAATACGCTAGACAATTGTATCTTTGTTGTTTGCGCGCAATACCGAGCTGGCAGCAAGAAGCGACTGGGTCTATTACCGACTTCATTGCCGCTATTTTTATGGTATGTTGCACCCCGATATCTCGGTACTGGAAGCCTATGACTTACTTGCTTCATCTCCAGACCGGCGTTGCAACGGAATGTTTTGACTTCGAGCTAAGCTTAGAGATGCACCAGCTAGCATGCGACTATGCCAAAGGACTTCACATGCACAGCCTTGACGGTCACGACTACTTCGCCGTAACAGGCTCGACGAGGACTGATGAAGATCGCAGGGGCATGTGGGAACTAATTCAGACCGACTTGTTCTATCACTTGATTTATAACAAACCAGCAAAACTGTTCCCTAACCTTGACAGTTGGCAGGTCAACTTGCCGTGGCTGTCTCTGGACTCGACCCCACATCACGATATCCCAATTTCAACGATTGCTTTTTTGTTCCGCAGCCGTGTAACTTTCGTTCTCATTCACTTCTTCCAAACGCTGGAGACGCTTGAAAATGAATCTGAAGCTGTAGAGGCAATTGAGCCTTTGTGCCACGAGATTGAAGCTTTGTTCGAAGAGTGGAGAATTGTCAGTTAACATATAACCGGGCACCCCCCCCGATCCGGATTGCTAATAGCTCCACAGGAAGATTGGCTGCAGCGGTCGGCTGACGATATGATTCAACAATGGGTCCTCACCGATGTCGTTCTTGTCGGTTACACCTGCATCATTTTCATGCTTCGCAAAGCAACGTTGCTCAAGAGTAACTCACCCAACCCCGTCTCATCCGATGAGAACATACCAAAGACAGATTTCGCAACAAGAGCATCTCGTCGGATTATGGAATTGACGTATCTTATGCTCCATGTCTGGGGCTTCCCAGCTGCGGAGGCCATATCCTACATACTGGGTGCTTATCGAGCCCACATTGCCTACGCTCACCTGGCCAGCAATGTAATTAACTCATCAACACCGGGAGATATGGCCGCCGACCTGGACTTACTAGACCGTGTGGCTCAAAGCATGGAGACTGCTGTTCAAGAGGAGCATGACTTTGCACCCTTGCTACGTGCAATGAAAAAGATTAATGCTGAGGTCAGGGAAAGGGTTGTCGGTTTCTGTCAATGGTAGAATAGACGGAGTGAGGACGATAGGACTATATTTGTCGAATTGAGGGTTCAGAACGATGTATATTCCGTTATGTGTGTAACTGTCTAAGGGCCCTTCAGGGGCGCGTAGGGAAGGGGGTATGCCACCCCCTGACCCGGGGCTCGGCGCTCGGAAATAGTGTTCTGCCGAGCGTTGCCGAAGCCTCGCGTAGCGCGCTCAATCTGACACACCCCCTCAGGGGAGCGCCGAATCGGGGCTTCCCTGCCCTCGAGTCGCCCTCTCCCCCTCGTATTTAGATTACACTGCGTTCAGAGCTCTTCTTTCGCTCATCCCTCGGCTGGTAGGCTTTCTACTGCGCTGTCTCCTCTCCTTCTGCTAAGAGGACGTTTTATACGTACAACTCGCGTACCACAGCAAGTCACGAGCTTCCCGTGGCACTCGGAGCGCGCTTCTTGTGGTCTTCGACCGCCCAGACGTCTTCCTGCGCGGCTCTCTTGGCCCACGCTTCTTCGTCTTCTTCTAATTCGCGTCTCCGATTCCGCTTCAGGAGCTCTGCCTGTTCGCTCATACGGACCTGCTTCCGGAACTCGCGGAACTGTGGGAGCGCGAGACTCTTCGTCAGACCGTCTGCCATAAGCTCTGACGACGGTGTGTATGCCACGGATACGCGCTTCGCTGCGACCTCTTGTCGTAGCCAGTGGTTGTGAATATCCACGTGCCGTAAGCGCGTCTGAAGGGTCACTAGATCCGTTATCACCAGTCGAACGGTCTGTAAGTTGTCGCATTGGATCTGAATCGTGGGTACGCTGCGCTTTTCTGCGGGAAACGTCGCTTCCGGCGCTTCTTCTGTTGGAAGGTGTACGTTTAGCGCGGAGATCAGGCGGCTTGCAAATAGCGCTTCCTTTGCTGCTTGCGAGAGGGATAGCAGCTCAGCTTCCGTCGTAGATGTGGTGACCGTGGCCTGTTTGTTAGCGCGCCACGCAACAAGCCCGCCGAATAGCTTCATAGCGAGCGCCTGAGAGCTCTTCCGATCCAGGGAGTTGTCTGCGAAGCTGGCATCTGACGCCACGATAAGCGTGTCTTCCTCGCTGCCGGGTTCGCAGCCGTATTCGAGGCAGAGGTAGCGGGTGGAATAGAGGTAGGCGAGCGCTCTGTCCGCTGCGCGTTGGTGTTTCGGCCCGGGATTCTGGTTGAAGCGCGCGAGACGGCTTGCCGCGAACGCGACGTCGGGTCTCGTCATTATTGCGGCGTATAGGAGAGTCCCGACCTTCTTCTGGTACTGGTTGACTTCCCACGCGCTGGCCTCTCCTTCGTAGGGTAGAAGCTCCTCCAGGACCATAGGAGTGTACGAGCGCGCTTCAGAACCGTCTTCTAACGCGTTAGCTGTGGGTGGAAGCAGCCGCCTCACCTTCTCGGCGTAAACTGCCTGCGAGAGCCATAATCGGCGTGTGGCTCGGTCTCGTATGACCTCGATTCCTAAAAACCACTGGAGGTCTCCGCCTCCTTCGAAGTGGTAGCGCTTCTGTAGCTCAGAGACCTCCCGCAGCGCTGCCTCCTTGCGCGCGCGGGGAAACGCCAGTACGCAGTCGTCCACGTAGAAGAAGAACATGACTTCGCCTTTTTGCCAGCAGCAATTCTCGCCTGCCACGCGTTCGAATCCACGTTCTACGAGTCCCTTTTCTAAGTGGCGTTGCCACAGGAGAGGGGAACGTCGTAGGCCGTATAGCGCCTTTCTCAATCGCAGGATTCTTCCTGGAACGCGGTAGCCCGGCGGAAGCTCCATATAGACGGTCTCGTCTAGATCCGCGTGGACGAAGGCGTTTACCGCATCGTATTGTAGTAATTCTAGGTCAAAGCGCGCGGCAACGGCCATCAGAACTCGGAACGACATACCTGCGAGCGTCGCGGCGTACGTCTCCCGCGCGTCTCTTGCTTGCTGGTCTCCTCGAATAACCAGGCGTGCCTTGAATTTGGCTAATCGCCCGTGCTTATCAAGCTTGTAAGTGTATACCCAGTGGCATCCGAGGACCTGGTAGCCGCGCGAGGCGCTTCTTGCGACCTCTTCCCACGAGCGGGACTCCTTGTGCCCGTCTAGGTGGCTTCTTTCAGCGCGCAGGAACTCCTCCCGGAAAGGGTGACGTTGCAACTGATCGTGAGACGTTGGCAAAGGGGCCAGATCCCTCCAGTAGGCGCCTTTCTTTCGGCCTTGCGCTTCCACGCGGGAGCGGAGCTCGGTCGGCGCCAACGCAGTCACCACATCCCGGTTACCGCGCGCTCTGAGATCCTTCGTCTCTTCTGCGAGCGTCTGGCTCCGGTCTCTGTGGGAGCTGGGCTCACTTGTCTCAAACGCTTCTACCACGGAGCAACCTTCCTGGGATTCACTTGCCTCTTGCTGACCTGTAACTTGGTCTTCCAAAGGGCCTTCATCCGCGCCGTCATTCCCGGATTTCACGGTGAAGGTTGCCTCGGAAACCCTCTCAGGGGCGCGCGGCTGGCCAGGCACAACGCGATCCCTTCGTGGGCCGTCTTGACGTCTAGGGTTTTGTTTGTGAAGCGTCGTTCCAGCTAGAAAAGCGGCTTTGTACGACGTCCGTGGTGTTACCTTCTTATAGATGGGCTTCGTAGCGGGGATATCCCGCGTATGCTCTTCTCCCCACCCCCTCACGTCGAGCTCGGTGAGCACCGCGAGAAAGGATGTGGGAGGCGACGCCTCCGGCGTCGGAAAGGGCTCAAACCGCGCTCCCGTGTATTGCCCTTCCACTTGCTTAGGCGCGTCCGCTTCAGCGTTATGGTGCCCGAGCGCTTCTGCTGCTTCCAGGGCAGGCTCACCGGGATCGGCGTGCTCTGAGACTTCTTCTGCTTCTTCGTCAGCGCTTTGTATATAGTTTTCTGAGCCCGTGGTCTGTCTGATCAGCTCCTCTATGCGCTGCTGAATCGCCTGCAGGTCGAGGTGGTTGATTTCTTCCACTAGGGACCTGACGTTGCCGTCGAAGTAGCATTTCTCGTTAAACACCACATCGCGCGTGGTAAATACTTCACTACGCAGGGGATTCCATATCCGGAACGAGTTGCTTGATGTGTAGCCGACTAGGTAGCCTATCCAGGCACGCGGAGCGAGTTTCTGGCGCCTGTTGCGCTTCAGCTGCGCATCAGTAGTCATTGCGTACGCTTTGCACCCATATGAGCGCAGATGAGAGAGGTCTGGGCGCGCGTAGAAGCCGCTTTCCTCGTGCCAGAACTGTCTGTGGAAGCGCTCGTACGGCGACTTCCACCCCCTGACTGCTGACGGCGTTCGGTTGTAGACGTAGGTGGCTGCTTTCGTGACTTCCGGCCAAAGCACGTCCGGTAGCGCTGCGCTTCTAGCCATTGCCCTCGCGCGCTCTTTGATAGCTGCCGCCCCGCGTTCAGCGCCTCCATTCTGTGACTGTGTATTAGGAGCCGATGGCTCTATTGTTATCCCGCGTGCTGCTAGCATTTGGGTCACGCGTAAGTGCTTTTCGAGCTCCCCATCGGTCTCCAGGAACTTCACTGATATGTCGTAATGGGTCTTCAGGAGCTCCAGGAAGTCCGTCAGGGTCGTTAGCAGAACGTCAGTAGTGCGTCCCGTAAGGTAAAAGTCCCACGCTAGACCGCTTGCGCGGTCCACGATGATCATGGTTGACGTGTACCCTTCGTAACCTTCTTCGTAGTCGTGGAAGTCCAGTGCGAGCCTCTCACCAGGCTTTGCGCGCTTCAGGGATTCTCGGGGCGCTCGGCGAACCATCCGGCGTGCTTTGCTTTCGCCACAAGCGTCGCAGTCAACTGTTGTTATTGGACCACCCCCTGAGGCGAGCCGGACTCCTCGCGCCGAATTGGCCAGGTGGCGGATAGCTTCCGGTCCCGCGTGGCCTAGTCTGCGGTGCCAGAGTTCAGCGCTTGCGCTGATTGCTTTCCTGCGCGTCGCCGTTGTGTAGTTGTGCCTTCTGCGCGGCTTGGGGTCGTCTGGTGCCGCGCTTCGCGTGACTGGCGCCGTTGCGAATGCCGCGTCGATCTTTCGGTAGTCCAGGACTTGCTGGCCAGCAACTTCTGTGAGAGCGCAGAGAAACGTTCCGTCCGCGCGTCGTAAGCAGTTATTCCGGGGACTCATATCCCACCAGAAGCCTCTCCTGCGTAGGCGCGTGAGGGAAACCAGGTTGCTCGCGAAGCCGGTACAGAGTGCGACGTCGTAGAGGCGGAGCTTCGTAACAGTGCTCCCCTGCTCTCTGACTCTGATGTCGACGGTTCCGTATGCTTCGATAGCCACTTGCTGAGCGCCTGCCCATAAGTAGTCGCCTGCTGGCGCTCCTGACAGTGTGGTGAACCACGAGGGGTCGTTGAATACATGGATCGTTGATCCAGAGTCCAGGATCGCCGATCTGAAGAGCTCGTATGTCTCCGGAGCGGTGTGGAAGGCACTCGGGACGGTCCCCTTGCTTCGGCCATATAGTCAGTGTTCTTCTTTCGCTGGTTCTCTCACCTTCCTGACACGGTTTGCAAGCGTTTCGTCTTTTCTCATCCGCTCGTCGAGGTTCGCGAGAAGCTCTCTACTCGGCTCGTACTACTCAGGGCGCTCCCGTTCGTTGACGAGCCAGCACTTCGAGAGCGGGTGAGGTTTCAGGCACGCAGGGCACAGCCGGTTGCCCTCGCTCTCCCCATCGCTTCTCTTCCGCGACCGGTCTCTGCGAGCTCCTCCTCTGGAGCGCGTGTTTCCTCGAGATCCCCGGCTGCTTCTCATTGGTACCGTTAGGCGCGCGGGGGAAGTTCGTTCCCCTTCCTCTTCGTTTCTTGAAGTGGCTTCTGTGGTAGGACCAAACGCTCCGCGTCCGGCCTGCTTCTTCGGGTTGTGTTGAGAGGTTGTTTATAGGAACCGCCGCGCGTCTGACAGGACTTCTCCAACGCTCAGTTTCTCGCTTTCGACGCGTTCGTCCTTGACGGTCTGGTATGAGAAGATCCATGTATCGGCGTAGCTGTGGCTCACGGCGTAGGTGAATTCCGGGAACCATATACTGGGGAGCTCGGTACCCGGGACGCCCGCCGCTGCTGCTTCGTGGATTGATTCTTCCCACTTCGTAAGCCACTCTTCCAGCTCTTTCTTCGTTGCAAGTCGCTTCCGCTCCGGTATCTGGAGCGCTCTCTTATATGCTTCGCTCGCGGCGGTGCGTCTCTCACGAGTGGTTATCCCTACGCGTTCCTTCAACGCGTAGACCCAGCGGTCCAGTGCGCGGTCCGCGGTACAGCAGCTCTTGAGGAGAGAGGTGCTAACTGTATCTCGGACCCAGTCTTCGAGCACGCGAATCCCTTTCAGGAACGCTTCATGGGTCTTGGAGCGCTCCATATATTCAGACCGACGTTCCTTATACAGGGCGAGATTGGCTGCCGAGAGCTCCTCCAGCGCTTGTGCGCGCGTTTCGTAGTCGGCGTCTTCGTTTAGCACTTCGGCTTTGCCGGTCTTAGGGTGATCGTATATTTCGGGGCGCTTCGGCCGCTCCATCCGCCGCTCGAGACGCGTTTGTCCCGTGTTTAAGGCGCCTGGGCGCTGGGGATCGATATATCGCCAGAGGTCGTAGGACTTGGCCTTCGACTGCAGCTGGTCGATCCATAGGATCCAGTCGGCAGGGGTATTCAGGGTGATTTTCGCGCTTGAGGAGGACATTTCGACGATAGGGGTTCAATTGGGCGCGTAGAAAGGGCTTTCGTATGCGTAGAATAGATAGCTGGCAGCGTTTAACGTAAACGCAGCACGTATCAGACTGTTAATTGTCGAATTGAGGGTTCAGAACGATGTATATTCCGTTATGTGTGTAACTGTCTAAGGGCCCTTCAGGGGCGCGTAGGGAAGGGGGTATGCCACCCCCTGACCCGGGGCTCGGCGCTCGGAAATAGTGTTCTGCCGAGCGTTGCCGAAGCCTCGCGTAGCGCGCTCAATCTGACAATATTGCCAAGGTAGGTCTGGGTAGGTGCTAACGCTGAAATCTGCCCCCCCTCTTACATCCCTCGACTCCCCTTCTTATGCCCAGCTTGTGCGCTGCCGACTCGCGGCGCCCGCGCTTATAACCCTAATATCTCCTTTTTACTCCCTGCCTTACTAATACCGAAAGTAGGCCCCGGCGCTGTACGCGGATCGCTTCCTGACATAACGCTCCCTCCCCGAGGCTCTCGTCTCGAGAGCCTTGCGTAGGCGCGCCGTCCGTACCGGTCGCCCCCCCTGCTTGTAAGCAACGACTACGGTATTCTATACCCTCCTGCCTACGCCGGTTCCTTCCCTTTTTACAATCCTTTTCCGTTACTATGTAACCTGCGATAACTTTACTTATAACCTTTTGCTTTTAATTAGTTTACTTATAACGCTACTTAAGGCTACTACCGGCTTATAAGAATTATTTACTATTATACTTACTTTTCGTTTATTTTCCTCCTCCAAGGTATATCAACTGTGCCAGTGTAACCGCCTTGGCAAAAAGTGCCTGTGCAGGGTACCCTCTTCATCACCCGGCAAGAGTCCCGACGGTAGACTTCACACTTCCTCTCTCCAAAACGGCGTGTTACGGCCAGCTAACTGACAGTGGGTTTGTGTTAACAGTAAGCCAGGGATTGACAACAGTAACAGTCGTTCTGGGGTCTGGTCGATTGAATCGTAGATCTTCAAAGGTCTTGGTGATCAGTCAAGGCCTCAACAAGAGTCGTAGAGTAGTCGTCACTTAGGTATAGCTGAAAGTACCGGTTAGGGTAATCACAAAGTTGATTGCTGAAGAGCTATGGAAGTCTGACCATGGGCCGAGCTCAGGTCATACTATATACAAGTCCTGGACAGTCCCTGTGTCTTGTCGCTGATCACTGTGTCAGATTGAGCGCGCTACGCGAGGCTTCGGCAACGCTCGGCAGAACACTATTTCCGAGCGCCGAGCCCCGGGTCAGGGGGTGGCATACCCCCTTCCCTACGCGCCCCTGAAGGGCCCTTAGACAGTTACACACATAACGGAATATACATCGTTCTGAACCCTTAATTCGACAATTAACAGTCTGATACGTACTGCGTTTACGTTAAACGCCGCCAGCCATCTATTCTACGCATACGAAAGCCCTTTCTACGCGCCCAATTGAACCCCTATCGTCGAAATGTCCTCCTCAAGCGCGAAAATCACCCTGAATACCCCTGCCGACTGGATCCTATGGATCGACCAGCTGCAGTCGAAGGCCAAGTCCTACGACCTCTGGCGATATATCGATCCCCAGCGCCCAGGCGCCTTAAACACGGGACAAACGCGTCTCGAGCGGCGGATGGAGCGGCCGAAGCGCCCCGAAATATACGATCACCCCAAGACCGGCAAAGCCGAAGTGCTAAACGAAGACGCCGACTACGAAACGCGCGCACAAGCGCTAGAGGAGCTCTCGGCAGCCAATCTCGCCCTGTATAAGGAACGTCGGTCTGAATATATGGAGCGCTCCAAGACCCATGAAGCGTTCCTGAAAGGGATTCGCGTGCTCGAAGACTGGGTCCGAGATACAGTCAGCACCTCTCTCCTCAAGAGCTGCTGTACCGCGGACCGCGCACTGGACCGCTGGGTCTACGCGTTGAAGGAACGCGTAGGGATAACCACTCGTAAGAGACGCACCGCCGCGAGCGAAGCATATAAGAGAGCGCTCCAGATACCGGAGCGGAAGCGACTTGCAACGAAGAAAGAGCTGGAAGAGTGGCTTACGAAGTGGGAAGAATCAATCCACGAAGCAGCAGCGGCGGGCGTCCCGGGTACCGAGCTCCCCAGTATATGGTTCCCGGAATTCACCTACGCCGTGAGCCACAGCTACGCCGATACATGGATCTTCTCATACCAGACCGTCAAGGACGAACGCGTCGAAAGCGAGAAACTGAGCGTTGGAGAAGTCCTGTCAGACGCGCGGCGGTTCCTATAAACAACCTCTCAACACAACCCGAAGAAGCAGGCCGGACGCGGAGCGTTTGGTCCTACCACAGAAGCCACTTCAAGAAACGAAGAGGAAGGGGAACGAACTTCCCCCGCGCGCCTAACGGTACCAATGAGAAGCAGCCGGGGATCTCGAGGAAACACGCGCTCCAGAGGAGGAGCTCGCAGAGACCGGTCGCGGAAGAGAAGCGATGGGGAGAGCGAGGGCAACCGGCTGTGCCCTGCGTGCCTGAAACCTCACCCGCTCTCGAAGTGCTGGCTCGTCAACGAACGGGAGCGCCCTGAGTAGTACGAGCCGAGTAGAGAGCTTCTCGCGAACCTCGACGAGCGGATGAGAAAAGACGAAACGCTTGCAAACCGTGTCAGGAAGGTGAGAGAACCAGCGAAAGAAGAACACTGACTATATGGCCGAAGCAAGGGGACCGTCCCGAGTGCCTTCCACACCGCTCCGGAGACATACGAGCTCTTCAGATCGGCGATCCTGGACTCTGGATCAACGATCCATGTATTCAACGACCCCTCGTGGTTCACCACACTGTCAGGAGCGCCAGCAGGCGACTACTTATGGGCAGGCGCTCAGCAAGTGGCTATCGAAGCATACGGAACCGTCGACATCAGAGTCAGAGAGCAGGGGAGCACTGTTACGAAGCTCCGCCTCTACGACGTCGTACTCTGTACCGGCTTCGCGAGCAACCTGGTTTCCCTCACGCGCCTACGCAGGAGAGGCTTCTGGTGGGATATGAGTCCCCGGAATAACTGCTTACGACGCGCGGACGGAACGTTTCTCTGCGCTCTCACAGAAGTTGCTGGCCAGCAAGTCCTGGACTACCGAAAGATCGACGCGGCATTCGCAACGGCGCCAGTCACGCGAAGCGCGGCACCAGACGACCCCAAGCCGCGCAGAAGGCACAACTACACAACGGCGACGCGCAGGAAAGCAATCAGCGCAAGCGCTGAACTCTGGCACCGCAGACTAGGCCACGCGGGACCGGAAGCTATCCGCCACCTGGCCAATTCGGCGCGAGGAGTCCGGCTCGCCTCAGGGGGTGGTCCAATAACAACAGTTGACTGCGACGCTTGTGGCGAAAGCAAAGCACGCCGGATGGTTCGCCGAGCGCCCCGAGAATCCCTGAAGCGCGCAAAGCCTGGTGAGAGGCTCGCACTGGACTTCCACGACTACGAAGAAGGTTACGAAGGGTACACGTCAACCATGATCATCGTGGACCGCGCAAGCGGTCTAGCGTGGGACTTTTACCTTACGGGACGCACTACTGACGTTCTGCTAACGACCCTGACGGACTTCCTGGAGCTCCTGAAGACCCATTACGACATATCAGTGAAGTTCCTGGAGACCGATGGGGAGCTCGAAAAGCACTTACGCGTGACCCAAATGCTAGCAGCACGCGGGATAACAATAGAGCCATCGGCTCCTAATACACAGTCACAGAATGGAGGCGCTGAACGCGGGGCGGCAGCTATCAAAGAGCGCGCGAGGGCAATGGCTAGAAGCGCAGCGCTACCGGACGTGCTTTGGCCGGAAGTCACGAAAGCAGCCACCTACGTCTACAACCGAACGCCGTCAGCAGTCAGGGGGTGGAAGTCGCCGTACGAGCGCTTCCACAGACAGTTCTGGCACGAGGAAAGCGGCTTCTACGCGCGCCCAGACCTCTCTCATCTGCGCTCATATGGGTGCAAAGCGTACGCAATGACTACTGATGCGCAGCTGAAGCGCAACAGGCGCCAGAAACTCGCTCCGCGTGCCTGGATAGGCTACCTAGTCGGCTACACATCAAGCAACTCGTTCCGGATATGGAATCCCCTGCGTAGTGAAGTATTTACCACGCGCGATGTGGTGTTTAACGAGAAATGCTACTTCGACGGCAACGTCAGGTCCCTAGTGGAAGAAATCAACCACCTCGACCTGCAGGCGATTCAGCAGCGCATAGAGGAGCTGATCAGACAGACCACGGGCTCAGAAAACTATATACAAAGCGCTGACGAAGAAGCAGAAGAAGTCTCAGAGCACGCCGATCCCGGTGAGCCTGCCCTGGAAGCAGCAGAAGCGCTCGGGCACCATAACGCTGAAGCGGACGCGCCTAAGCAAGTGGAAGGGCAATACACGGGAGCGCGGTTTGAGCCCTTTCCGACGCCGGAGGCGTCGCCTCCCACATCCTTTCTCGCGGTGCTCACCGAGCTCGACGTGAGGGGGTGGGGAGAAGAGCATACGCGGGATATCCCCGCTACGAAGCCCATCTATAAGAAGGTAACACCACGGACGTCGTACAAAGCCGCTTTTCTAGCTGGAACGACGCTTCACAAACAAAACCCTAGACGTCAAGACGGCCCACGAAGGGATCGCGTTGTGCCTGGCCAGCCGCGCGCCCCTGAGAGGGTTTCCGAGGCAACCTTCACCGTGAAATCCGGGAATGACGGCGCGGATGAAGGCCCTTTGGAAGACCAAGTTACAGGTCAGCAAGAGGCAAGTGAATCCCAGGAAGGTTGCTCCGTGGTAGAAGCGTTTGAGACAAGTGAGCCCAGCTCCCACAGAGACCGGAGCCAGACGCTCGCAGAAGAGACGAAGGATCTCAGAGCGCGCGGTAACCGGGATGTGGTGACTGCGTTGGCGCCGACCGAGCTCCGCTCCCGCGTGGAAGCGCAAGGCCGAAAGAAAGGCGCCTACTGGAGGGATCTGGCCCCTTTGCCAACGTCTCACGATCAGTTGCAACGTCACCCTTTCCGGGAGGAGTTCCTGCGCGCTGAAAGAAGCCACCTAGACGGGCACAAGGAGTCCCGCTCGTGGGAAGAGGTCGCAAGAAGCGCCTCGCGCGGCTACCAGGTCCTCGGATGCCACTGGGTATACACTTACAAGCTTGATAAGCACGGGCGATTAGCCAAATTCAAGGCACGCCTGGTTATTCGAGGAGACCAGCAAGCAAGAGACGCGCGGGAGACGTACGCCGCGACGCTCGCAGGTATGTCGTTCCGAGTTCTGATGGCCGTTGCCGCGCGCTTTGACCTAGAATTACTACAATACGATGCGGTAAACGCCTTCGTCCACGCGGATCTAGACGAGACCGTCTATATGGAGCTTCCGCCGGGCTACCGCGTTCCAGGAAGAATCCTGCGATTGAGAAAGGCGCTATACGGCCTACGACGTTCCCCTCTCCTGTGGCAACGCCACTTAGAAAAGGGACTCGTAGAACGTGGATTCGAACGCGTGGCAGGCGAGAATTGCTGCTGGCAAAAAGGCGAAGTCATGTTCTTCTTCTACGTGGACGACTGCGTACTGGCGTTTCCCCGCGCGCGCAAGGAGGCAGCGCTGCGGGAGGTCTCTGAGCTACAGAAGCGCTACCACTTCGAAGGAGGCGGAGACCTCCAGTGGTTTTTAGGAATCGAGGTCATACGAGACCGAGCCACACGCCGATTATGGCTCTCGCAGGCAGTTTACGCCGAGAAGGTGAGGCGGCTGCTTCCACCCACAGCTAACGCGTTAGAAGACGGTTCTGAAGCGCGCTCGTACACTCCTATGGTCCTGGAGGAGCTTCTACCCTACGAAGGAGAGGCCAGCGCGTGGGAAGTCAACCAGTACCAGAAGAAGGTCGGGACTCTCCTATACGCCGCAATAATGACGAGACCCGACGTCGCGTTCGCGGCAAGCCGTCTCGCGCGCTTCAACCAGAATCCCGGGCCGAAACACCAACGCGCAGCGGACAGAGCGCTCGCCTACCTCTATTCCACCCGCTACCTCTGCCTCGAATACGGCTGCGAACCCGGCAGCGAGGAAGACACGCTTATCGTGGCGTCAGATGCCAGCTTCGCAGACAACTCCCTGGATCGGAAGAGCTCTCAGGCGCTCGCTATGAAGCTATTCGGCGGGCTTGTTGCGTGGCGCGCTAACAAACAGGCCACGGTCACCACATCTACGACGGAAGCTGAGCTGCTATCCCTCTCGCAAGCAGCAAAGGAAGCGCTATTTGCAAGCCGCCTGATCTCCGCGCTAAACGTACACCTTCCAACAGAAGAAGCGCCGGAAGCGACGTTTCCCGCAGAAAAGCGCAGCGTACCCACGATTCAGATCCAATGCGACAACTTACAGACCGTTCGACTGGTGATAACGGATCTAGTGACCCTTCAGACGCGCTTACGGCACGTGGATATTCACAACCACTGGCTACGACAAGAGGTCGCAGCGAAGCGCGTATCCGTGGCATACACACCGTCGTCAGAGCTTATGGCAGACGGTCTGACGAAGAGTCTCGCGCTCCCACAGTTCCGCGAGTTCCGGAAGCAGGTCCGTATGAGCGAACAGGCAGAGCTCCTGAAGCGGAATCGGAGACGCGAATTAGAAGAAGACGAAGAAGCGTGGGCCAAGAGAGCCGCGCAGGAAGACGTCTGGGCGGTCGAAGACCACAAGAAGCGCGCTCCGAGTGCCACGGGAAGCTCGTGACTTGCTGTGGTACGCGAGTTGTACGTATAAAACGTCCTCTTAGCAGAAGGAGAGGAGACAGCGCAGTAGAAAGCCTACCAGCCGAGGGATGAGCGAAAGAAGAGCTCTGAACGCAGTGTAATCTAAATACGAGGGGGAGAGGGCGACTCGAGGGCAGGGAAGCCCCGATTCGGCGCTCCCCTGAGGGGGTGTGTCAGATTGAGCGCGCTACGCGAGGCTTCGGCAACGCTCGGCAGAACACTATTTCCGAGCGCCGAGCCCCGGGTCAGGGGGTGGCATACCCCCTTCCCTACGCGCCCCTGAAGGGCCCTTAGACAGTTACACACATAACGGAATATACATCGTTCTGAACCCTCAATTCGACACACTGATCAGGTACCGGTGAGCGATCAGTGATCGTTGGTGAGCGCTCAGTAGCTCTGACTGAGCGCTCAGTGACCCATACTACCTGCTCAGTCTTATCTTATCATCACGTGACTTGTACCATAGTTCTTCCGTTCCCGAGTGAGTCCCTGTTGTTCCCGTGATCCTGCAGTACAAATGTCCTGTTCTAGCCGCCCGACGCCCAAGTGGGTCGTTCAGCTGTTATCCTTGTTTACGGGTCGTAACACTCTGCTTCTTAATCGAGCCTACGTGTCAATGAAGAGCCTTAGCATGGTACGGAATACTTGAGCCATACATTTAGTAATACTGTTCAACATCCGTACCTTTGATTTCTGTCGTACCAGTATTGTCCGGGTCATTTCCATCGAGTTTGTTGGTAATGTTAATGATGTGCTGAAGGACGGCCAACTATGGTAACGTCCCACACCCACTTCTGGGCACCCCCCACATTTGGGCACCCCATTTACACCAAAAACGCCGTTTTTCGAAATTCTATATTAAACTAACTACTATACTTACTAAGAAAAGAAAATATATATAAACTATGTTAAGTATAATTATAGCCATCTAATTTTTTATAAAGGTTTAAATATAATAATAGTTATAATATAGAAGTTTAAAACTAAAAGCTTTAAAATGTTAGTAGATACTAGTAACTTACTAGTATTCCTTAACATTAGAAAAATATATTTTCGCTCATATATACTTATTTAAAAAATCTAGGAAATTAATATTTATACTTATTAAAAGTATATAATTATATCTAAAAGAGATTTAAAAGTATTACTTTAGTAAATATAGTATAATTAAGGGTTAAAATTCTATAATAGAAACTTTTCTTAAGGGAAATTTTAAAATATTATTCTAAGCTTAAAGAATTTTTTACTAAGTATAAGAATATATAAATCTACTATATCTTACTTAAAAATTCTAATCATATTAGTTAAATATCTCTACCTATTTTATATATTAAGATATAGGCTAGGTAAATTAGTATTATAAATGTTAAACCTTGAATTTATAATACTTATTATCAATAATACTAGTATATAGCTACTTAAGTATTATAATTAAGTCTTAATCTATTTAATATATATTTATTCTCTTTAATAAGTAAAGTATTTAGTTTAATATAGAATTTCGAAAAACGGCGTTTTTGGTGTAAATGGGGTGCCCAAATGTGGGGGGTGCCCAGAAGTGGGTGTGGGACGTTATACTTAGGATTGATAACAAGACTGAGCTTTGTGATGGTCGTGATTTCGGATTTTACGGCTTTTGCGAGACTGCTTGGGAGCGATAGCATCCGTGGAATAACAGACGTACAACCTTCCATCATATCTCCAAACTCGATATATATCTCCTCTATGGGAAGGCGGCTCTTAATAAGTGCGAAAAACAGTGTTCTGATTACTACTAAGGCATGAACCATGCTATTAGGTAAGAAATCAGAAATAAACCTATTTGGAAGTACGCCAATACGTCGCCCAAGCTTAAAGGCGCCCCATGGTCGGGTATGATCCGATATCCCAATAGCTTTGCAGTTTTTGAGGTTAGTGAGAGCTATCGCTAAATAACTCATATGTTGCCTTTGGGAGAAGAATTCCGTTTGCTCCTGCCATCCATCCTTATAGGTTTGGATTATTTGCTCCCAACTATCGTCGCCCAGTAAGACAACTTCGCCATTCCGAACTCGGAAGAAATCATACTCGTCTTTGAGTCCACAAATCTCTAGTTCTTCGTGGCTCATGTAGTCTTTGGGTTGGATGAGATGATCAACGCAGAGCTCGACAACTTCAACCGCTTGACTCAGAATATGGTGGCGTGAAATGTTCACAAGATTCAATAGGCTTTCCTTCTCTAGCATTACGTAGCGAATGCGGAAGAAGCGTGCTTTGAAAGCTGAAGACGTTGCCTCAGCTATAGTTTTGCATGTTTCCCGGAAGTTCTGATAGTCCCGCAAGTGCTTAGGGTCTGGTGATAATAGATGATAAAAGATTTCGGTTATCAGTTCAGCTGGCAAGTTGATAAGAGCTTGTTGAGCCATAACTTGAAGCGCAATATCAAGAAAACCCAGAATTGTCTAAGGTGAGGGGAAAGGATCTGATAGTTAAGCGCCGTGATCACCCGTAATTATGCATGAACATGGAGTCGTCTTGGTAGGATTACTAATCCTGGACCGGTGAAACATTAACCCGATTACTAGCTCGTCTTCCTAACGGGAGGCTTACTTCAACAGGCGGCTTGCCCGCCGTTCCCCAGTTTCGTTATTTCTTACGGGTTGCTTGCTTTTCGTAATGTCTAACTCTTCCGAGCTTAGTTTTCCAAATTATCCTTAAAGGTCCTAGAGTTCTTAGGCGTAGATAATCGCCTTAGCGATGCTATTTACCGCCTTGTTATAGTCGTAATTCTCTATCCTCTAGCTGTCTTCGAGTTACGTTACCTAAGTCTAGGTTCTATCGTCGTATCTAACGTCGATTCGGCTAATATTCGTATTCTACGCGATAAACGCTATAATACTTATATATACTCGAAAGGAGTCTAAAATTCTTATTATTTTAGGATTATTAAGATATATCTCCTAATATCGTAAGAGACGTCTTGCTGTCTCGCGATAACCGTTATTTAACCTCGGGTTATTTACGTAACTTATCGTATAAGTCTATGTTAGCTACGTCAAGGTATAGGTTATGATTTTAAGTAAGTAGGCTTGTAGGGTGTTTCCTTCGAGATTCTCCGCGATATATCGCGGTTGAATCAAGAGAAAAAATTGATCGAGATTAAGTTATGCTACTACTTGTCATAGTTCTTCCTACTAGCACGTAGCTATAACAGGCAGAGGTCGGAACCGTAATAAGAATAAAGATGTAAATAGAATAGTATAGAAGTCAAATAAACAGTCACAAGGCAATAAACAACGATGAATTGATAAACATAGGTATAAGTAGTTAGTCTTGTATTAAGTTAATCTACTGACAATGATGCTGTCGAGGGCGTCTCTTATACGGGTACGGCCAGCACGTAAGATATCACGTGCCCTTGATAACTGTTTATAAAACTATAACAATATAGCTATAAAGGGAATTCTTACCTATATATCGTTAAAAACGATAGATCTTAATAAAGCAAACTTTCGGTTAGTAAGTACTACTAACTACCTTCTTAATTTAACCTTAACGTTACTTACGTCTTAAGGAAACTTAACGTTATACTTAATACTTTCTTACGTCTACCGTTACTAGTAGTAATAAGTAAAGCAGACCCGTTCGAAGAAAGCAATATACTTATAGATATCTATAACGATAAAAATATCGTAGCTTTTAACTTAAAAGACGATAAATAGCTAGGAGAACTAAGCAGGTTTATAATTAGGATAAGTAAAGACTTCGCTAAGACTATCGTTAAAAATTACAAAGCCGACCTAAAGTATAGAAAACTTATCTAGCAACTTATAAGATAACGAGAGAGTAGTAATAAGTAGTAGTTACTTAAGGAGGTAGACGATAAGGAAAATCGCGCTCGGAACGAAAGGCGTACGCCGATTCGTCGTCGAATCTCCCCGTAGCAACTATCAAAGACAGGCTTCCTATTCTACTATATATATAATAAGATAAAAAGGCTATATATCTTATATAAAGCCGTCGTAAAAGTTCTTAGCCTTACCTATAATTAAAAGCATTATTTCGGCATAGACCGTATACTAGCAAAGCTAGCTAGCTTCTAGATACAAAATAAGTAATTAATAGTAAAGCAATATATTACCTACTACCTAAGATATAAGGAAAACTAAGTCGACTAGCAGAGACTGCTAAGCAGCTTATAGCCGATTCTAGTCGTAAGAATCCCCTTCGATACCGTAATAATCGACTTCGTTACCGATTTACTAAAAGTAGAAGTATAAAGGAGTCTATAAGTACTACTTAGATTTAAATAGTTTGATATGCTTACGCTTATAATAGATAAATTCTCGAAGAAAGTTATACTTCTACTAGGCTATACTACGTACGGAGCTAAAGAGTAAGCAATAGTCTTTATTAAAGCCTTCTAACTAGCTAACTAGGGACTTTTATATTGTATTATTAGCGATAGAGACCCTAAGTTTATCTTAGCCGTCTAGACCGTGATATTCCGCGCTCTCGGAGTAAAACTGCTTTTATCTATAGCTTACTACTATAGACTAACGGCTAGAGTAAGAGAATAAACTAAATAGCAGAGATTATAATCCGATTCTAACTTTCAAAGTACTTGGAAACCTATAGCTAGAGACTCTCCTAGCGCTATAATATAACCTTAATAACTTATATACCGTAACGATCGGGAGATCTCCTAATAAGGTTATATATAGATTTAAGCCTTAAAGCACTCTCGACGTTATCGCGGAAAAAAACGCTTTAACTAAGTCTATCGACGTTATAAGAAAGATATACTAAGACGAGGTAGCGGCTTTAATCGATATAGCAAACTTGCTAAGAAAGGAATGCTATAATAAAAAGTATTTAGACGTTAGATTCTCCGTTAGTAATAAGGTTTAGATAAGACTAGGGAAAGGCTTCTACTTACCTAGCTAACGCTATAATAAGTAGACGTTACGATATATAAGCCCCTTTCGAATCGTTCGAATTATAAGCCCAACAGCTTACGAAGTCGACCTCCCGGCTTATTAGTAAATTTTTCTAATCTTATTAATAGCATAGCTATATAAGCTAGCCTAGGGAGACAACCTATTTAACCGTAAATAATAGCCGCCCTAACCTATCAAGGTTAATAGCAGCGAAAAATAAGAAATCGACTATATTATAAGCTGTAAAATCAACCGGAGAAAACGCAAGCTAAGGATCGAATATCTCGTTTGCTAGAAGGGATTTACTATAAGGTTCGATACCTAGGAGCTTTGCAAATCGCTTAAGACTAACATAGTAAAGCTTGTTAATAAGTATAAGGCGAGATATCCTGTCGACGCGGAGGTTATACTAACCTACCGCTCTAAGCAACGCTAACAACAAAACAACTAAAACAATATCGCTATTCTATAATAAAATAGCTAATTTATAATAAAGCGATATTAGTAAGATTATTCCCTTTATTAACATAATAGAATTTCGTATAAAATACTTATTCTTTCCCTTCGTAAGTACTTGCCTTATAAGTAGCGAAAAACTTTACTTTTTACTTTTACTATTACTATTATAAAAAAACTTTTCTACTATATAAATCCTACTTCTACCTATATAATAGAAAATTAATAAATCTCTTACTTTATAATATATTATAAACCTTTTCTATTCTTATTAAGACTTTTAACTTACTATTATTATACGTCTTAATTATAAGATTCGATATTAAGAACGCGAAGATATCTTCCTAACATACTTACTAAGATACCGACGAGATCGCTAAAACCCCTACTAGCTCCGTTATAGCCCTTAGAAGCAACGTAGGTAATAACAAAACCTAAACCGACGACGAAAACCTCGGAGATAACTTTAGCCTAACCGACGAGGAACTTTACGTCGTTAGCAAAAACGCTACTAAGGAAATTACTATAGCCGCTACTAAACATACTAGTAACTAGTAGGACGCTACTATGTTTAACGCTAACAAAGCTAACAAGGCTTATAAAGCCTATGCCGAACCTACTAAGACGGTCGAGGAAGACTAGCCTAAGAAGACTAGCAAGGGTAAGGCTAAGAAGAAAGCTAAGAAAAGTAACCCCGAGCTAGTTAACGAATCTAACAAGGAGGAAAAGTCTAACGCCTTAGCCGTCAAGGCTACTCCCGCCCCTAAGGCTAAGAAGGCTAAGGCTAGCAAGAAGTCTAATACCTTTAAGAAGAAGAAGCATGCTATTACTAAGGTTGATAATACTTAGGTCCGAGATACTAAAAAGCATGCCTAGGATGCGTTTGCCTTCTACCTAGACGATATATTGCTTAAGGAGATTAAGGCTTATCTTAATAACTTTACTAGCCTAGCTACCCCTTCTTCTAACCTATTTATTCGTTATGTTTAGGACGCTTATAAATACGCTTATACTGCGTATAATAATAACGCCTTATATACGGAATACTTACCGTCCTACGCCTAGGTTCTTACAACTATCTTTTATACTAGCAACGGTTAGGTTAATAATACTATTACAAGCTACCTTATTACTATTTACTAAGCCGACCTCTTCTTAGTTCCCCTGCTTATAAATATTAGCTATATAACCGCTACCGATATAACCGCTTATAAACAACTTAAGAATATAGAAAAAGCGTTTTAGACTTTCGAAGGTAACGTTTATAAAATAAATAAGACGGTTACTAAGAATATAAAGAAAATCGTTAATAGCGTTAACAAGGAGATTATCCCTCGCCTTAACAAACTCGACGAGAAAGCCTAGTCTACTGTCGACGTTGCAAGCGTTAATAATCGCCTCGAAGTACTTAAAGCAATAGCTGCTAGCAAAGATATAATCGCTACGGAGGTTAACCGCGTTATCGCTACTAAGGATAATAAAATTATAATCCTCCGCGGTAAAATCGTAGAACTATGCGAAGCTATTACTAAGTTATAGAAAGGTAATAAGCGCGTCGCTACTAAGAATATCGCAAGCCTAGCTAAGCAAAACCGCTTTAGTAATATGCTAGACTACGATTAGGATAGGATTTTATTATTAAGGTCGTAATTCTTCGCGATAGATAGGTAATAGAAAGAATAAATTTATATAATTAGTTTTTATTTTATCATCGATTAGGACAATCGTCTTTTTTTAAAAAGGGTACTTATTATAGTTTTATAAATAGTTATTAAGGGTACGTAATATCTTACGTACTAGCCGTACCCGTATAAGAGACGCCCTCGACAGCATCATCGTTAGTAAACCAA